TGTTGGCTGCTGTAGTTTCAGCCGTTGGCTGCTGTGTATTCGCACTTTTGTACTTTTTATTTTATAATATTTATATCTTGGAAAAAAAAAAATAATAATACCCTACATGCAAAACTCTCTGGCTTAGGGCTGAGCATGAGGTATTGAGACTCGGAGAATTTCGAATCGTTCTGAAATTGAAACGAAAACACTCTACACCGAAAAATAATTGTTAAATGTTTGACTTTCTCCTAACTGAACCAAGCAGAAAAATAATTAATACGATTTTGGAGATTTCACAAATATTCGTACTGAAAACCGCAGCAAACAACCTCCTATCGTACCGTACTGAATAACTGAATTATAACATTAGATATGTGTTTATTAATATATTTTATGGCAAATTTGATCCAATATAATTCGAGAATTTTTAATAATTAAACTTTACTTAAGTTTCATGTTTTTTTTTGTTTACTTAAATTTTATGCTTATTAATACTTGCTCGGCAATTGAATTTTTTCGTTATAAAATAATTATTTAAAATGGTATGAAAGGTTAAAGAATATTTTTTTTAGGAAAAAATATATTATATTTTATTTGAATTTTAAACTTTAATATTAGTTGCACAAACTTAGTCTTAACCAAGATGACTCTAAAGTTGTTTAAATATAAAATATTCAATATGATGAAGTATTAATGAACGTTGTTTTTTGAAACATAAAAAAAGTAAAATATCACTAGGTAGTAATTAAAAAAAAAAAGGAAATCTCCGAAGATACATACCGAACCATAACGAACCGAACCGTTCTAATTATTTGGTACGGTTCCGGAGATCGAATTTAGTAATCTCCGAAGTTGGGTACGATTTCGGAGATTTCTCAATATTCGAACTGTACCGACCCATGTTCACCCCTACCATGGCTAATATCCAACAGAGAGTATAAACTTTTACACCCCCTCGGCCACATTCCTAGCTAAAACTAAACTAGAGTCGCAAGCTCTCGGATAAAAAATAAAAGTACAACCAACAAAATAATCAACTACCTACAAAATGTATCTACCAATGACTTAGCCTCGAGCAATACACATATTTTTTCTGCAGCTTATGAGCCAATCTTTGATCAGAACTACAACAAGTGAAGTTACCTATATTCCCCCCTTTCTTCTTTTTGGCTCGAAACCCTATGCCGGCGTCGCATCCTTAATCCTCCTCCGTTCAGCCTTCCTTAGCGGCGGCGAACTCGAGCTTGCAGTCGCCATCAACTTCTCGGCCCATCCCAGATGTCTTCTCGCCTCCGATGTTGCCGAAGACTGTAGAATTGTAGCGGCTCTCCTTCGGCCGATTTTGTTTTTTCAGGCGAAATCATGAGGACAGGTCGCCGGATTCTGTGTCAGCGGTGGTGTCGGGAGGGACGAGGGTTAGAGGATGGGTCGGGGCTTTGGAAGTTGCGATGATTTTTTTCGCGATGGCAAGAGTTTGGGACTTTGCTCCTCCATATCGGTATCTTCGACTGCAACCGCCTCCGATTTCTGGAGCCGCCTTGGAGGTAAGTTTCCGTCTCTTGGTTGTGTTGGGTTGAGGTTGGGGCCGCTGGGGTTCCATTGGTAAACTGGACTTCAGTTTTTCGATGGGATCTTCGGGCTTAGGTCTCCGGCGGGAGTGTAGTTGGGATGGACAGAGTTGTGATGCTATGTGTGGGGCACTGTTCTGGATGCCGAGGTGTCTTCATTTTCAGGGAAGCCCACGTTGAGTGTTCGAACCACCCTCACCGTTCTCCGCTCGACAAGTGGTGTTAGGCGATGGGGAATTGGATCCTCTTGAGCTCGACTAGTGGTGTTAGTCGGTTTTGGTTCGAGCTGGTGTGGGTGCTGGTCTCGTTGTTCCTCCAGTTGGTGGCGGGTCGATTTTTAGAGTTTAGTTCGCGTTTGGGTTCTGCTTTTGTATAGGCCTTGTGTCAGTTTTGGAAGAGAACCATTGGGATTTTACTTTGATTCTGATCGTCCTCTGCTAGTTTTATTCGTTGATCTGCTGTGGAATGGCTCCTTTTTTATTTAATTTTGTTAGCTGTTTTATGTGGTAGTCTTGTGTTTTTGGTCTGGGCACTTTGCCTGAGTGCTTTTGTTCTGATTAATGGGCTTCAGCCTTGTTTTTTTGGTGTTTTTTTGATTTGGGTCATTTGTCCCCTGTGAGAGGGATTACTCAGTTGGAGTCGTTACACATTACCTCGTTGGGGGTCGTTCCACATTACCTCATTGGGGGTCGCATTTAGGTCTATGTGTTGTGTTTTTTTGAGTTTCTTTTCTAGCGTTGCTAGTCGGGTTCTTGGCGGTCTTATGACCTGTCCTCCCAGTTTTTCAACTGTTGGTTGTTTTATTCAGCTAGGGGCTGTGTACTTTGCACATTTGTGCGTTTTTGTTATATAATATTCTCTATCGTTTGTACAAAAAAAAAAGTTACCTATATTCAACTCCATTGTCATCTCAAGGCTTCACCTTACTGCTAGCAGATAGGCTTCCTCTGAATCTTTTTTTTTTTTTTTCGAAACGACAGAAAAACTATTATAAATCAAAACGCACAAAGTGCGAATAAAAGTACAAAGCTCCCAATGGGAGAATAAAAAGGGAGGACAGGTCTGGCGACCGCCTAGAATCCCGATACTAGCAACGCTAGAAACCAAAAACACACGACAAACACCAGATAGGCTTCCTCAGAATCAGCTGCAAATTCTAGACTTGAAAACTAAATGTGCATCCCTTGACCATCCTTTCAAACACATAACCCAATCCAATTTTCTTTTAGTGGAAAGTAAGGCACTCACAGAAAGACACATCTGTTCTACCTTCTTGAAAAAGTCTTCTACCTGAGAAGAGATTGGATTTTGAACACACCTGTCAACCTGACCCAACTCACCAGAAATAGAGATGAATTCTTTCCATTCTTCCCTTGCCCCCTGAACAATATATTTCTCCAGATATCTTTCCTTGTTGAAGACCTACGAATTTTCGGCCTTCCGAATTCTCCACAATTAAAAGCACTTAAATTCAGCCCATCGCTTTTATAGTCTCCCTCTTTGATAATGCAAATGTTAGACCACCATCTTTGAAAGCTTATCTTTTTATCCTCCAACAAGCTTCACCCAAAACCACTTAGTTTCCAGTAAAGTGCAAACACTGGTGCAACCAATTGGATCCCTCTCTTCTGAATATAAAACTTTGAATTCACAAACTCATGCCAACACTTCCAAAGGAAGTTCTTTATCTAGTTTTTTTATTGGTAATGCCCAACTTGACCTCCAAATCTTCTTAAAAGCTTCATAATCTTGCATTCTTCCAGTTTATTCCTGCTCTGGCTATGATCAACTTATAGACTTCTTTGACTGAGA